GCACCCGTGTTGTGCAATGCCCGCGGAGGACAGAAGAGGCTGTCGGATCCCCTGGGACTGGAGTTATGGACAGTTGTTAGCTGCCATGTGGGTGCTGGGATTCGAACCCAGGTCTTCTGCAAGAACAACCAGTGTTCTTAACCGCTCAGCCATCTCTCCAGCCCCAAGATGACGAATTTTTATTTGGGGCAGAAAGAAGGGAAAGAACTAGTTGGAGGCCACAGAATGAGACTGCTTTTTCTTCCTGTGAGTTGCCTGCACTGAACCGAACACAAAGATTTGGAGCCGGAAGTGTCCAGTCCAGACGTTCATTTGCTGAAGGAGGAAATGAGACCAAAGAAGGGGAACGAGTTGCTCAAGGTCAGCCAGTGTGGGACCAGTTTGGGCCCAGAGCCCAAGCTGTGCACAAGGTCCCCCTGCCCAGCTGCCTCACTTGCTCATCCAGCCCCTTGGTTTTGTCTCCCCCAGCGAGTGGGCGCAGAACGGGCCCAGCTTCCTTCCTGCCGCCCTGCCCGCCGTCTGCCACGTTGGCAGCCGCCTGCAGCCTTCTCGCCCCTGCTGCTGCTGCTGATGCGGCATCAGCCGAGACCAACCCGCTAAGAGTTTGCCCAGAGCAGCCAGGGCTGCCTGAGCCTGAGCTGGGGCTGGGCTGGCTGATTCTGCCAGATGGGAGGGAGCAAGCCAGCCAGTGGAGGGAGAGAACAAGGGCTGCACCCTTCCCGACTCTCCCCAGCCAAGGGAGGGAGTCAGGAGGCTGCGGTTGGGGGCTAGGAGGCTACAGTGTCTGACCATGAGGTTCAGACAGCTGCGTCTGTCCCCTCAGGAGCGTACACACACACACACACACACACACACACACACACACACACGTGCCTGGAAAAAGATGCTGGGGGTGATTTGTCAATCTATTTGCTTCAATGTGTGCAAGTAGTGCTGTGTGTGCATTTGTACTGACATCACAGTCACTTTGTGTTTGTGTAAGCTCAAGGAAAAACTGTGTGTGTCCCGAGTTTGAATACAGGCTGTGTACATAGAAATGCTGCTTCTAGCAGTGTGTGTGTGTGTGTGTGTGTGTGTGTGTGTGTGTATGTGTGTGTGTGCGTGTGTGTAAGCCCATATGTACCATATTCCTTGTGGAATCCATGTATATAAAAAGGGGTCAGTACACATGCCTGTTTGTATATGCTGCATCAGAGTTGGTAAGGAGTGCCTATGAACTTGTTATGGTAGACAAAGAAAGAAAGAAATAACTATGCACAAGGGGGACGTGTGGATAGGGGAATGCTGTGTGAGGCTGTGAGCTGGTACCCATCTCTGTGCCCAGGAAGACAGTGTGTAGCTGTGTGGGCTAGTCCAACCGCCCATAGGTGGCATGCACGGCCTCTCTGTGGCTATTGATGGTGGCACAGGGGGACACCCTGTGGCTGTGTGTGCTTGGCTGTGTGTAGGAGGGATTGGGTAGCAGGCTGGAGGTAGTGGCAGTGGTAGGGGTGACGGTGATGGTACTGTGCAAGGAGACACTGTTGCAGATTTGCACTTGTTTCTCTGTATGGCAGGGCCTGTGTGTGACTGTGTGTGTGAGTCTGTGTGGGCCCTGTGCTGGAAACCACGTGCTTTGGGGGTCTGTGGTGAGCTGAGCTTGGAAGGGGAGGGAGTCCATGGCTGGGTTTGTACTTGTCTGTGCGCCTGAGGTCAGATGCGCTCCATGTGCTGCCTCCTGTGTGCACAGGTGGCCGCTGTGTCCAACTGCGTCTTTGTGTGTTTCGGGTCGCCGGCATGTGCACAGGAGGACATGGGGGGAGGACTTGAGTGCGTGCCTGTGCGGGCCCCTTTAACGTGGCAAGTCTAAGAAATGTCGGCCTTCTTGGCAGCAAATCTGGGCTTGGTTCCACTGGGGGTGTCTGCAGAGAGGGGCTTAGAAGGGACGTGCTTGAGCGAGAGAGACAGGAAGGGAAGGGGGGGCGGCCCAGCTAGGGGTTTCCAGGAGGGAAAGCCAGACATTGGAACTTGTCAACGCTACCTCCTTCCCCACCCCCACCTCCTCACTGCTGCCTCCCCTCCTGGCGCCTGAAGGCTGTTGGCAGACGGACAGACAGACAGACAGTGCACACATAGACTGGCTTCATGGCACAGAGCCCAAACCTGAGCCCCTAAATACACAAGCCTGGATACTGAGGTCCAGAGGGGGCAGAGGAAGTGGCTGCATCTTGGGAAGAGTACATGTGTTTATGTATATTGGGGGACAGGGGGTGCTATTGGCCTCTGGCACTTCAACTCAGACCAGCAGGCCTGGGAGGGGAAGAGGCTGCTAGAGAAAGACTGGGGAGGGGGCTTTTATGTTTCAAACAAGACTTCTAGAGCTCCCAGGCCTGCTCCCCATCACCTCAGAAACCACCCGCTGCAACTGCCTGCTTTTACAGAGGCAAAGGAAACCCAGAGAAGGGCAGGAACTGATTCAGGGTCATACAACAGGCTGTGGTTGGCCTGGAACCCAGGACTCCTCCAAGCCATGTCTGCTGTGAGCACTGGCCCATGGGCTAGTTCACCCTACCCTGACCTTGGCTCATTTAGCCTTTTCTCCCTCCCAGGTTTTCAGGATGATTTTTTTATCCCTCGAGTGATGTGTCTGTCTGCCTGCCTGTTAGTCCATCTGTTGGTCACAAGGTCTCTAGTACTCTCTAGCAGGACCAAGAAGACAGAGGAGAGCTTGGTTCTGGAACAAAGGCTACTATACTAGAGAGGTAGGGGTGGGATAGAAAGATGGAGGAATTCAAGAAGAGAGGAAGGAGGCTAGAACAAAGAGAAGGAGCTGGAGGCCAAGCTGAGCAGCAGGCTCTCCCCATCCACCTTTAGCCATGATGTCACACTGAGTTCTAAGAGCATCCTGTTTCTGGGGGGGCCAGGAATGAAGCCCCTGGCTCCAGTCCCCAAGTCCTAGGGACAGTGGGGTTGTAATCTTACGACAGCATTCCAGGCACACACCTATGATGTGCTGACCATGCTTCCCATGAAAAAGGGGCAGGGTTGTGGTGGGCAGCACAGGTGTGAACCTGGGTATATGCCAACCAGGGTGTGCGGCCTCATGGAACCTGGTACTGGGTATGCTTATATGAGGTTGTAAGTTTGCAAAGATTTTGTGCACACATGTGAGAATATGTCAAACAGGCTGGAACTGCATGGGGCAGGAGGAGGATTTTGGGAATGCTTGTCTGTAGGGGTCTGTGACAGGCAGGGGATGCTTACATGTGGAGAACTGTGAATCCTCATTTACATGCTGTGTATTGTGTGGAAACAGATAAACTGTAAAAGCATTTACAAAGGTGTGTGTGTGTGAACTGTACATCTCTGATTGTTATGAGGTACATATGTGTTGTCTGTATGTATCTTTTTAAATTTTATTTATTGTTTTTATTTGTGTATATGAGCATATTGCCTGCATGTGTGTAAGTGCACCTCTGTGTGTCATGCAATGCCGGTGGCGGTCAGAAGAAGGCATTGGATCTCCTGGAACATCTGTTACATGTTGCCATGTGGGTGCTGGGAATCCAACCTGGTTCCCCTGCAAGAACAGTCAGTGCTCTTAACTGCTGAGCCATCTCTCCAGCCCCTGTATCTTTTTTTTTTTTTTCATTTTCTCAGGGGAGAGCACGAATACAGTCCCCCACTACCACAAACTGTGCAGCCGAGTTTTCCACATCTGGGAAATCTCAGGGGTCAGACACACATTGAGAGTGCAATGGGTAAGCCTTGCCCTGGGAAAACCACCTTCGTGAGCATGGCATCTCCCCTGCCAGGTAAGTATTCTATCTTTTTTTTTTTTTAATTATGAAATGGCAAGTTTTATCTTATTTATATTTTATCACAGTGTTTCCCCCCCCTTTGGTCTTTTTTGAGACAGGGTCTCCCTGTAGCCCCAGCTGTCCTAGAACTGGATATGTAGACCAGGCTGGCCTTGAACTCACAGAGATCTGCCTGCCTCTGCCTCCCGAGTGCTGGGATTAAAGGCGTGTGCCACCATGCCTGGCAAGTATTCTATCTTTTAAAAACATCTTTAAGAAATTGTTTCATGGAGTTGGAGAGATGGCTCAGCAGTTAAGAGTACTGGTTGTTCTTGCAGAGGATCTAGGTTCAAATTCCCAGTATCTGGGGCTGGGGAGGTGATGGCTCGGTGGTTAAGAGCACTGGCTGTTCTTGTAGAGAGCTGGAGAGTTTGGTTCCCAGAACCCACATGATGTCTAACAGCCATCCTACAACTCCAGTTCCAGGAGATCTGACACCCTCTTCTGACCTCTGTGGGTATTGCACAGCGTGGATGCACTTACATGAATGAAGGCAATACACTCATACACATAAAATAAAAATAAATAAAACATATAAAAAAAAATTCCCAACACCCACCTGGCAGCTAACCACTGTCTGCAACTCCAGTTCCAGGGAATCTGACGCCCTCTTCTGACCTCCGAGGGCACTGT